ACGGCAAGCTTGGGGATTTTGGACTAGCAAGATTATATGAGCACGGATCAAATCCTTGCACGACTAGGGTGATGGGCACCTTGGGGTACCTTGCACCAGAATTGCCAAGAACAGGACGGGCCACAACGAGTTCTGATGTGTTTGCCTTTGGTGCTTTGTTACTCGAGGTGGTCTGTGGACGTAGGCCAATTGAACCCAAGGCAGAACCCGAGGAGTTTGTACTAGTGGATTTGGTGTGGGATAAATTAAGAGAAGGGAAAGTTCATGATGTGGTGGACTATAGATTGAAAGGTGAGTTCAATGAAAATGAGGTTTTGATGGTGTTAAAATTAGGACTAATGTGCTCAAATAGCCAGCCATTGGCGCGACCAAGCATAAGGCAAGTGGTAAGATACTTGGAAGGTGAAATTCTGATGCCTGAGGCTCCAACAGAGCCAAATCCTGATGATGGAGAATTGTGGTTCGACGAAAATGAACGTTGGAATTCTTTAGGATCAACTAATATTATCAAGTCAAATTCATTTACAAGTTTGTCTAATGGAGATGAAGATGATACTTTTGCTTCTTTTTCTACTTCACCACTTCCACTTCTATATAGTGGTGAAGTACCTAGATACTGATATGAACTAGCAAGCAAACTCCTCTTTATTTTTCCAGGAACATTTCCTGTACATTTTTTCCGCTTTTCTTTGTCTTTCCTCTCTGTATGTATTCCAGTCTATAAAGATTCAGTTGCATAATCTGAAGTTCTCCTCAGTTGAACAATGGATAAAGATTGATGTAATGTAACTATGAATGGATGTGGTTGTTCCAAAGTTCTCTTTTATTCCTTTTTGTGCGTGCGCTTCTGTATCTTTTCCTTTTTTAGAAAAGGCGAAATGGCTTCCTGGCCACTTAAACTTGTCGGGTTTTTTAAAGCCGATACATAAACTTATAACTTTCTCATTTGAACACTCGAACTCATTTTTTCCATAACTAATAAACACATTTGACCATTGACCATGCTCATGTGACGTCAGTTGGTCCTAATCAGCAGCCCGCGTGAGGAACACGACGCACAGGAGCGTGAAAACCCCCTTCCCAACGCCCAACAGTACAAAATACGCCCTTCCTCCATTTTTAAAAATCTGAAGCTCCATTTTCAATTTTTTTTTTCATTTTTCAGACCTTGAAAATGGTGGAAAGTTGTATATTTTGTCATTGTAGAGTTTGAAGCTAAGTTTTGAACTTCCCCATAACCTCCCCTTCCAAGTTCATTGATTGAAATCCTTCAAAAGCTTTCTGTACTTCTTCTGGATGTTCAAGGTGATGGTAACAGCCCTGTGGAGGAACTCGGCAATCTGCTCGAAGTCCTTCTCAACCAATCCCCTTGATGTCATTGCAGGAGTACCTGTAAATGAGAACTTCAGTTAGTTAAAAATGTTTAATGAAGGACCTTAACATTATGCATAGAAGAAGAGATTATGGGGGATTTCAAGTTTCAATAAGGAGGGCCTTCAGATTCTCTTTGAAATTCCAAGTAAGGTTGGCTTCTGCTTTTGTATAGAAATAGATTCATTGAATTAAAACATTTAGAAAATTACGAAACTGGACCACGACAAACCTCCAAACAGCAACCTCGGCTTTTGATTGAGGAAGAAAATTGATCAGGTGGAGTGTTGTGTGGTAAAGGGAAGAAAAAGGAGCAGAGATAGGCGTAGCAGAGATAGGCGTTCTTTTGTTGCTAGGGGTGTTGGAATTAGCTTGAAATGGTTGATGAAGAAGAACACTAAAGCAGTCAAAGAGAAGACGTTGTTGCTTGACTTTTCGCGCCCTTACGTGTAAGACATCCATTGGTCATTTGCTGACTAGATGGACACGTATGTGTATGTGTAATACACGCACACATGGTCAATGGTCAGATGTGTTTATTAATTATGGAAAAAACGAGTTCGAGTGTTCAAATGAGAAAGTTATAAGTTTATGTATCGGCTTAAAAAAACCCGACAAGTTTAAATGGCTAGGAAGCCATTTCGCTTTTAGAAAAAGCAACAACAAACCGAGTGAATTCCCACAAGTGATTTCTGGGGAGGATAAGATGTATGCAATATTACCCCTATCCTGGGAGGCAGAGAGATCATTTCTGATAGACCCTCGGCTAAAGAAAAAAATGATAAGCAGTAGCAACAACAAAATATTAACAAGACCAAAGCCAACATAGCAATTAAACGATAGGTAGTAATAGCAATCTTCTTTTAGAAAAAGCTAGTAGGAAAATTTAACCACACTTTGAGGTCAACAAACATTGAAAAATGGTGCTCATGTCAAACTTGATAAAGGGTTCAGAGAAGAAATTATGACGAAAGGCTTTCTCCAACGAATTTCTAGAGTCAAGGCATCACCAAAACCGTAGTTTAAACTAGTCTAGTGATTAATGCAATATGATCAATGCTACAATAGTGGTGTTTTCTTGAGCAGAAGGCAAATACTTTTTAATATGGCACAATAAGCATAGTGATGCCACCAGAAATGAATGGAGATAAAGTTGAATAATACTAAAATCTAACTTAGATGATAATGCGGCCTCTTGGCAAATAATTTCAACTTAGCCCTCTTTTGGATTTTAAATTAGACACTTGAAAGCATGCCTAGCTTTTATTTTAAATAGAATATATTAACGGCCACTAATAGTTCAGTGGGGAAGTTGTTGAATAAATTAAAGTCTTCTAAGGACTAGAAAATCTTCCGAACAAGGGATCCAACAATGAGTTTGCGAGTTCAATATATGTTTTAGAACTCATTCTTTCAAGTTTCAACTCAGAACCGAAAACGTCTAAATTTTGGGCGCGTAACTTATGATGTCTACTTGTCTAGCTCCATTCAATTGAAGCTCGTGGAGCTATGACAGCAGTAGTAACTGGGACCATATTTAGTTTTATGCAGAGGCGGACCCATGATTTAAGCGCGACGGGGGCACCATCACTTTATATATGCAATTACTAGCGACAAAAAGCAGTTCTATGAAAACGTAAATGATTATGATAACATATCAACAAAATATAGATTTAATATTATCGAATATAATTAATTTGGTACTGATATAATAAAAGTACATCATAGGCTCATACTTGAACTCTATGCATTTTCATACGCAAAGGGCAAAGGTTTAAACTTTAATGTGTAAATTTTTATATAGAATGTCCCGATGTGATTGTAGCTATACAATGAGTTAAATGTTTAGGTATCACTAATTAGAATTGAGAAACATAATCAAATATATATCTTGCTAATGCATAGAAAATCACAAGCCGCTTGTTAATGTCCATATGGAAGGGAAGAATCACATAGGAAATTGTCCAAGTTAGTTTTATTTTACAATCTTCAAAAGGTAAACTTTATTAGTCATTATGTGGATCCAACTGTCCTCCAATTATTGCAAAGAAAATATATTTTACTTCTCCATCATTCTTCGTTCTTTAAGTTACATCGTCAGATAAAGCTTTCAAAAAAGAGAAAATTCTAAGCAGAGAGTGAGTGAGGGACTTGAAAAAGAATAAAATACATTGACTATTATGTACTAGTAATAAACTAATTTTGAAAAGATAAAAGAAAAAAAATTAAATTAATTGCTAGTAAGGAGTATAGTAGTAAGTTAAAAAAAAGGAAGTGAGGGAAGGACTGGAAAAGGAATAAAATAAATTAACAACTATGTAATAAAAATAAACTAATTCAGAAAATATTATAGAAAACAAAAATAAACACATTGACTAGAAGGGGAGTAATAGTAAGTAAAAAAAGGTATCCATGATTTTCTTTTTAAAACAAAGTAAACAAAAAACAATTTTATTAGGAGAAAAAAATCAAGTTATAGGAGTACGTTTCGAACCAAGGTAAACGGGTAAGTAAGGGAACTCGCGCTGTCCAGTAAACTAGTCTAGTCTGATTTTTAAGTTCAAGAGGGCCAAGGAAATATACAACGGGTTCCTTTGTATATATACAGACCATATATAACATAAGTATACGTAATTTTTGCCGTGACTAACAGGATCCCGTGACCCCAACACTCTATGTAGGTCCGCCCTTGGTTTTATGGAGTTTAGCTATAATACTTCCTCAACCCGAATGATATTTTTCAAAAGTATATGTGTAGGGACTAGGGTTATGGCTTCAAGCTCGGTGCATTTCTGGTGAGAGTTGACGAAGTCTAGCCGCAGCAGTCATGATGTGTGATGACTAATGAGAGGCCAAGTTTTCTTCACGCTGCTACTTTTGTTTGTTGTCTTTTTTCGTTGGCCCCCACTTTGCTTTCCAACTAAAAAATAGACAAGTCGTCGAAATAGTATTCCGAACTTATTAGTCCGATTAATTTAGATTAATTTAACTTGAAATTTCTGATTAATAGTTAAGAATGAGAGAATCACATCCATCAATTCACGTCTTAACTTTTATTCATCTTTTAAATCATAAAAAGCTAATAATCGGAACTATCGTGATAGATAAAAAGACCGGCTAATTATCAAGTGATGTTCACAATAGCTTTTGGGATAAATGTCATCGGTGGTGTTCGCACTATTTTTTTTTTTTTTTTTTTTTTTTTTTGCACAAAAGTATCTAAAAACATTTTGTAAATAGAAATACCTAAATTACAGTTATATCTAACAAAAAGAAATACTTACTGGAAATATAAATTCTTCAATATAAAACATTTACAAAATAATTTGAAAACCCTTAACTCACCCAATTAACATATTTTCAACCCACTTGCGGTTATAAATTTTACACATTACCTATTTTGATTAGTGAATAATATATACACACAACTATTTATTTATAGAATTGATTTCAAACACTTAAAGTTATTTACAATTTATTTAGCATTTGCTAATAATGACTTATTTTCAATCAGCTATGACAAACATAATTTTTCCTAAAATTGTTTGCTATTATGTTTTTCAAAAGCTACAATTCTCAAAACAAAACCAAAAATGAATAGGCTTTATTAAAAAAATTAATTGCATCTTTTTTTCTTTTTTTTTTTCCTTTTTTCGGAGAAAAGTTGAGTTACCAATGCTTCTACTTCCGCCTACTTTGCGACTAAGGTCGGTTCTCAATTCTCAGTGCGATTGAAAAGGATAATATAAAGGCGACCACAAAATGCCTGTGAGAGTGGTGGAAACTTCTTCTACGCCTTCCCAGCCTTCAGGTAATCAACTTGCACTAAATTTCTCGCTTTTTAGATATACTAATTTAATATCATCAAAAAAATTGGAAGCTGAAATTACCTCCTGTATAATTTTTTATATACACTATGTTTTCTGAATCGAAGTTTCAGTTTTGATTATGGACATATAAATTGAGATTCTTAATATTTAGGGCCTGACTTAATCAGCGTAATGTGGGTTAATTTACTAAGTTGGCATTTTTTTCATTTTTCTTTTCTTTTTGAAGATACTTTTGAAAGGATCTGGGCCACTCACTTTGCCAGATTGAATAGTTTAAAGATTCTTGCCATGTGTAATTTGCTTTTAATTTAAATTGGATTTCCTCAGTTTCTGATTTCAGTATATTTAATTGTCATAGTGATAAGAATGTGCCGCTGAGACTTAAAAGATAATTTCTACAAGGTTGTAGTTAGATAGCAGAGTGTTGGCCGGTCAAGAACTCTCATACCCAGAAGCTAAAAGTAGCTGAAATGAGGATGTTGAGGTGGATGTGTGAGCATACCCGGTTGCATAAGATTAGGAATGAAGTTATTCGGGAAAATGTGGGAGTAACCCTGTGGAGGATAAGATGCGGGAGGTGAGGTTGTGATGGTTCGGGCATGTTAAGATGAGAAGTATAGAAGCCCCAGTTAGAAGGTGCGAGCAGTTAACCTCGGTGGGTATTAGGGAGGGTTATTAGGCGGGACATAGCGCAGTTGGAGCTAAATGAGGACATGGCCCTAGACAGGACGGTGTGGAGGTCAAAGATTAGGGCAGAAGGTTCATAGGTAGTCGAGCGTTTCTCTTTGTCTTACTCAGTTCGCTAGCATTAGTGTTTGTATGTTATCTTTTATACAAGATGGTTATTACTACCTAGAGTTTGACTGCATTCTTGGATTCAATCAGTGTTATCAAAGGCGAAAAGCGCAGAAAAGCTCTAAGGTCCTTTGGGGCTTTAAGCGCAAAGTGCAAATAAAGCATGGGCTTTAATAAAAAAAGGCACAACTAGAAAAAAATTAAAAATATGCATATGTAGTCTAAGAACAATAATTATAAGCATGAATAACAAATATATGGACAAAGAAATTGAAAAAAATGATTACAATAAAGTGAAATATCAATTATTTAGTGTCACATTTTCAGGATTACACTCATTGGCAAGTAAAAGTATGTCTTAGAGCCTTAATACGACACTGAAGCGCCCACAAAGCGAGGCGAAGCGCTCAACATGTTTTGAGCCTCGCTTCAGGGCTTTAAGCGCGCCTTTGACAACAGTGGATTCAATTATTTCATCTTGCTGTTATTCCTACTTGTTGCAATTACCTTTTCTTTTTCAGTCGTTCTCTAGCCGAGGGTCTATCGAAAACAACCTCTCTGCCCTTTCAGGGGTAAGGGTAAGGCTACGTACATCCTACCCTCCCCAGACCCCACTTTTGGGAAACTACTGAGTTTGTTGTTGTTGTTGTTGTTGTTGTAGTGTTAGTATTTAGTATTCACTAAAGTTCTGTACTTTTTGGTGTCAAATTATGTGATTGTGTTTGCCAAGTAGTAAGTAGTTGTTGCATGACTCAAATGCTCGTCTTTTTTCAACTATAAAGGTGCAACTTCAGGAAATACTTTGCCTCCAGCCTGTACACTTCTAAGTGTCGGACAGGTGAACTTCTGCTGTCATTTTCTCCTTCTGTTTCTATCATTTCATTTCTTTGGAAATGCATTTCCCATTAATTTACGCGATGTTATACTTGTATAGATGTTGTCCTGTAACATTAGTGTAGCCTTCTTGTTTTTGTTTTCAATTTGATAGTTTGTTAAGATGACTTTTTCCTGTCTCGTCCTTTGAGACGAGGTTTTATTTAGAATTGTTTCATCAGTTTGGGCAAGAACAGTGGGACAAGTAATATTTTGAGAGCTTGAAGAGTATAAAGGAGTGGGTGAGACGGGTAAGCAAAAAAAAATGTTAAGTCAAAGGCTATGATCAATCTGTGTCGCCCACGACAGAAGGCGGGCCAATGAGAGCGGGCAAGCAAGACTGACAGGCTTCTAGGCTTGCAAGCTTATGAAGAAGGGGTGCACATGTCACCTTAGGCGAATCCCACGTCGAAATGAGAGAGGAAAGTAAAGAGCTTTATAAAATATAACACAAGTTTACATGTACGTGCACTTTTGGCCTCGATAATGGCGTAGCCCAAGGGACAAATCTGTGAGGTCCGGGGCCAAAATGGACAATACATATTATGGACTTGGGTATATAGTATCAGAGTCCCGCGCTTCCTCAGTACGATAGTGGGGCGAACCTCAGTGAGGACGCTGAGTCCTCGGGGAAGGAAAGAATGTGACGCCCATGAGGGAGGGCAAGCTGACGAGGACACGTCAAGCAAGACTAGTAGGCTTCTAGGCTGACAAGCTTATGAAGAACATGTCACTTTAGGTGAATTCCACATCGGAAAGAGGAAATTGAAGAGCTTTATAAGGATAACACAAGTTCACATGGTATGCATTCTTTTGGGCTCGATGATAGCGTAGTCCAAAAGACAAATCTGTGAGATCTAGTGGGCCAAAGCAGGCAATACGTGCTACGGATTTGGAGTGTGACACAATCGGAGAGGAATGAGCGTGAGAGCTTGTCTAAGAGAAAAGGCAAAAAAGGGGAAGAAATTCAAAACTGAATTGAACAGAAAGTGATCTATGCACATGTCTCTAACCAGCTAATCGGCTTACTCCAGTCAACTATTTATGATTCCATTATGAGTTGGTGTTTTTCATTCTTTTGTTGCTGAGATACAGTACAGCAGTGGCCACAATATCTCTGTGGACATTCAACACTCCCCCTCAAGTTGAGGGATGAAAATTCTTCTTGATTCCCAACTTGGAAACCAATGTGCAGTGCTGTTACTTGCCTAAACCTTTGGTCAGTAAATCTGCTCGTTGCTTTTTTGGTTGTATGATTATTTCTGCGTTCTTGCAAACCCTATACCAGAGAAGAAACTGAACTCCCCTATCCCTGATTTCAAAATTGTACTTTGTTCTTTGCTTGTTGTATCACATCCAAATTGTATAGATGGCAATGATCAGAAAGCTGTTGCCTAACCTCTTGTGGACAGAGCTCATGCTTGCTTTGATTGAGAGCTAACTTCAGTGAGCATCAGTGAGCTCCAAGTTTCATTTTTTGAAGCTTGTTTGAGTCTTTGAGACCATAAAGTGGTTTAAAAGCCTATACAGCTTGTTCTTCTCCAATCTGTGATAACCCTGAGGTAAAGCCATGTAGGCCATCTCAAAAAAATCATCTTGCATGAAAGCATTGTGGGCATCCATCTGATGGACAGTCCACTGATCAAATGCTGCAAGGGGGGCTGCTTCTCTCTGCCACACTTGTGGCTAATGGTGAAAAGGGTATCATGGTGGTTCAACCCTTCCTTCTGATTGTACTTTTTGGCTGCTAATCTAGCCTTGAAGCTTTCGAACTTAAAGTTTGTGGTTGTTCAGCTTGTCACACAGGTGAAAAGTCTCATCATTGCTCACTGCATTTTTTTTCCAGGCCTTTTCTGGGACTCAGAATGTCTCAAGTCAACAAAAAGATGAAGCGTGGAGAGTAAATGTACGAATTCAAGGTTGTGACCTTGATCATGGGTATCTCTGTGGTACAATGGAAGCTCTTAATGTTCCTATGGCAGATACACCAGTAAGAAGCCTGTGCTTTTACTTCAATGAGCATCAGATCTCTTTGCTTCTTCCTTAAATATCTTTGATACATGAATTTGAAGCTACTTTAAAGAATAGGCATCTCTTGAGTGGTTGAACCTTTTTGTTACATTCATATGAAATTACACAGGTGAAAGGACGTCGATTGAAATGTCATTGATCAGTGAGCGAAGATGGTTCTTAATCTAACTGCTGGTCCACTTTGTCTTTTTTCTACCATTACAAGTGGTATTGCAGTGACAAGTTTTATTCGACAACTCCTATGCTTTTCACATCTTCATCTGGAATACTTTGAAAATCACTCCACACTTCATGGTGACAGTCTAAATAATATATCCAAGAGTTTTTGTTGAAGAAAATTTCCTCTATGTGGTTGTCTCTCTCGATTCTCTGCTGCAGAGAAAATATTAATATGCTTTTTCTTTCCAGTTTAGAAAATGCTGTTGACGATTTTGCTTGCTGTCTAGTGTCTACTCTTAATAACTTTGATCTTATTTTGGACTTTGCATGCTAATGTTTCCAGCCTCTATTAGATAAAAGAAGAGGCTTCTCAACCTCACTTTCCAGGAAAGAAAAGGGAAACGAGTTATGAACTGCTGTGTCCATGGAGCTTTTTTTACTCTTTTATTTTTCAAACTTGTTTTGAAAAAGCTTTTCTTGAGCTGAGGGTCTATCAGAAATAGTCTCTCTACCTTACACAAGGTAGGGGTAAGGTTTACTGTACACCCCGCCCTCCCCAGACTTCATTTGTTGGTTCCGATTTTAAGGCTTTAGGTCCAGCAGAGGATTGAACTAGTTTATCCACTCGCGGGGATCGCTCTGGATATGTTGTTGTTGTTGTTTATTCTTTGCATAACAGCAGTCTCTCTCTCTCTCTCTCTCTCTCTCTCTCTCTTTGTAGTTATTTGGTTCCCATTAATCTCCTTATTCCAGCAGAGCAGTCCTCGGTTTCGTGAGACATTTTTATAGATCCTCCAAGTTCAGATATTTTTGTTCATGTTCTCTAGTTCCAAGAGATTCTTTTTAAGCTGTTGTTTCTGCTGATCTCCTTCACCCAAATCCCAATA